CCTATAAGTGTGTGATAAGACTGACACACGTGTCTCTTACCTCTCCACGTGTCAACCATACTCCCACCTAATTTCAGAGAATAATTATACTAACATTTGTTGACAAAAGCACAAGAAACATTAACAGGCCGTCCTCACCTCCATTTCTCCTTTAAATACAAATACATACCTACTAACCTACTGATAATCAAATTATTAAATAGGAGACAAAATACAATCATACTGCAGAATCTCTTTAACACTTGCCATATTAAATGTTGTCTAACACGTACTGTATACTGTATACAGTATACATAGTATTGAACATACATATACTGTACAGTTGCGGTCAAATTCTCCCGACGCTTAGCAAGAACTGACATCAACTTGAGGAAGTGACTTGCCGTTACAGTACGTAATATAACTGCATGAAAAACAATCTACCACACAAAAATTAGATCACATAGAGATGAAAGGCACCCCAGCTTATTTAACCGTAGATTGAACACTAACGCTAACTAAACCTCATTAACTAATGCTAACATCATTAACTAATGCTAACATCATTACTAATGTTCACCTAACCGAAAGTGAACTTAATCAAATGCTCCGCCTAACTTAATGCTTTCATACCTAGCCTAAAACTAACCTTACCTAATCTAACCTGGGTAATTATTCTTATCAGTATAAAATGCACGTATGAACTCTTTTATTAATAAGCACAACAACCACTACAGTCAGCAGTAGCCTCGGCAACACTGCGACCCAACCTCTTTGCCACACTCATATAAAATCATTATCTGAAATATACAAAAGTTACAAGTAGATGCAATGATAACACAGCCACACCACTTACACACACACACACACACACACACACACACACACACACACACACACACACACAGTAAAAAAAAATAGTTGCAAATCATGTTGTCTTATTTGCAATTGATTTTATTGTGCCATGTGTAGTATTTCGCTTGTGTATGTCAAGGTTTTAATCTTTTGTCTTTTTACTGAGTTTAGCCTCCGGGCACAGGTCACTGACCCACACATCGCGGCCTGGGAGGACGAAATGTATATATGTAATTCATAGCAATTAAATTTATAATAAAAAAATTAAATAAAATAGATAATAAAATAAATAATAATAATAATTACTAATAATATAATAAAAGAACCATAAATAAATACAAAAATTAAAATAAAATAAAAGTAAAATAATATATGTATGTTTGTGTTGTCAATAGTAAAACAATTAGACACCTGCCGGAAAAACTTGAGCATGGAAACCTGCCACCTTTAGTAGAGTCACGCTGGACAACACTCTTCTCGCATCTACCCAAAAAATTGATACCGGATGGCAATAGTGAAGAATACACACACTGCAGTCGTACACCCCAACAACTTTTAATAAACTTGAAGATTGTTAATACTATACATAGCCTTTCCTCACCAATTTAACGAATGTAAATGTGTACAGTACACACTAAATTAATCACAACAAAATAAACTGAGAAGATGTAATAATTAAAATACTACAAATAATACGTATATAGTATCACACATCGTCAATAATAAGTAAATAAATAAATAAATAAAAATTACCATTACCATTTTCCGGTCATTTTCCGCAACCGGACTTCATAAATTCCCTTACGATTAATTTAAATTCCCGAAAACCTACCCACTGTGCTGTTACATTTCCCCTCAATTCTGTTATAGCCTCGAGTGTTCTTATTGTATTAGATTTTCTTGGTTTATAATACTGTTTTAGTCTCAACAGCCAGACGTTATAAAATGATCACGCCAGGACACATAAATAAAATGATTGTTCTCAACGACTGGTCTGGCAAATTTATTCATCCTTTCTGTCTACCACGCTTCCTTTTACTGTCACCACCACCACTACCATCCCTACCATCACCAATACCACCACCACTGCATCCCTACCATCACCAATACCACCACCACTACCATTGCATTTTACACCCACTGCCATCATCACTACTACCATCACTACCAACATTATCCCTACCATAACCACCACCCTACTGCCATCCCACCACCCAGCCTACTACCATCACCACTCTCCTACTACCATCACCCACAACATTATTACCTCCACCCACCTCCTCTACTACCATCACCACTATTACTACCATCACCACTACCCATACTACCATTACCACTAACATTATTACCACCACCACCACTCTCACTACCATCCACCTACCCATACTACCATCACCACTAACATTATTACATCATCACCACCACTCCCTACTACCATCACCACTACTCCTGCCCTGCTTCATCACCACCGCTACCACACTGCATCATCACCACCAGACCGTCTACGGGCAGAACCTCGTCACGGCCCCACGCGCGTCCGTCATGCGGTCGGAAACCCACCCCACCACCACCGGACTGTCACTGTAGATGGTAGCGTTGGCCGTCAGGTCAAATTAACCCGTCAACAGGTAATGTGTCCAGGGTCACTAGTCTAGTGCTGAGCCGCAAGCCAGGCAATCTCCCCCAAAGGACAGGCCTGATCACCACCCCTACTACTAACCTCACCACCCCTACTACCAACATCACCACCCTACTACCATCACCACCACTCCTACTACCACCATCACCACCCCTACATCTCATCACCATCCCTACCACCATCACCACCCCTACCACCCATCACCACCCCTACTGCCACCATCACCACTCCTACAGCATCACCACCCTACTACCACCATCACCACTCCTACTACCACCATCACGCCACCCCTACCATCATCACCATCCCTACTACCACCATCACCACCCCTACTACCACCATCACCCCTACTATCATCACCATCCTACCACCATCACCACCCTACTACCACCATCACCACCCCTACCACCATCACCACCCCTACTGCCATCACCACCCGCACTAACATCACCATCCTGCTACCACCATCACCCACCCTACTACCACCATCACCACTCACTACTGCCAATCACCACCCTGCACCACCAACACCACTCCTGCCATCACCACCCCTGCTACCATCACCGTCCCTACTACCACCGTCCACCCACCCCTCTATCATCGCCATCCCTACTGCCACCATCCGCACCCCTACCACATCATCACCCCTACTATCATCACCATCCCTGCTACCGCCATCACCACCCCTGCTGCCACCATCACCACCCCTACTGCCACCATCACCAGTCCTACTGCCACCATCCCGCCACCCCTACTACCACATCCCGCCGCATCCCCACTCACCTGCATCGCCACCCCTGCTGCCAGCATCACCACCCTACTACCATCACCACCCCTGCTACCATCCCCACCACCCCTACTGCCACCATCGCCACCCCTACTGCCACCATCACCGCCCCTGCTACCACCATCACCACCCCTGCTATCGCACCATCCCTACCACCATCACCACCCCTGCCACCATCACCACCCCTCACTATCACCGTCCTGCTGCCATCACCACCCCTACTGCCGCCCCATCACCCCCCCTGCTGCCACCGTCACCCCCCTGCTGCCGCCATCCCGCCGCCCCTGCTACGCCGTCGTCACCACTCCTGCTGCTGCCCTGCGCCACCCCTACTGCCATCACCACTCCTGCCACCATCCCACCGCCCCTACCGCACCGTCACCGCTCTGTGCCATCGCCACCCTACTGCCACCGTCGCAACCCCTGCTGCCGCCATCACCACCCTGCTATCATCACCGTCCCTGCCACCATCACCACCCCTGCCTGCATCATCACCCCTGCCCCATCATCGCCATCCTCTCACCACCATCACCACCCTGCTGCCACCATCCCGCCCCTACTGCCACCATCACCCACCCTGCTGCCACCATCACCACCCCTGCTGCCAATCACCACCCCCTACCGCCCCTGCTACCACCATCACCACCCCTACTGCCACCATCACCACCCCTACTGCGCCATCCCGCCACCCCTACTACGCCTGCATCACCGCCCCCTGCTATCATCGCCACCCCTACTACCGTCCAATCCTACTTCCGCACCATGCCACCCCTGCTGCCACCATCGCCGCCCCTGCTGCCGCCGTCACCACTCTGCCACCATCTGCCTACTGCCACCATCACCGCCCCTACTGCCATCGCCGCTCCTGCCGCCATCACCACCCCTGCTGCCGCCATCTGCCGCCCCACCATCCACCCTGCCATCACCCCCCTGCTACGCATGCCACCCCACTGCCGCCATCACCACCCCTGCTTCGCCACCATCCCCTGCCCACCATCACCGCCCTGCTATCGACCCCACCATCCCTGCTACCACCATCACCATCCCTACTGCACCATCGCATCCCTACCATCGCCGCCCTGCTGCCATCACCGCCCCTACTGCCGCCATCACCCCCTGCGCTGCCACACCCCTGCTATCATCACCGTCCCTACTGCCGCCATCTCCACCCTCTGCCACCATCGCCCCCCCCTACTACCATCATCCACCCCTGCTGCCGCCATCACCACCCCTGCTGCCATCGCCACCCTACTGCCATCATCGCCACCCTGCTGCCACCATCACCACCCTGCTGCTGCCCTGCTACCGTCACCCCCCTACTGCCGCCATCACCCGCCCTGCTGCCACCATCACCACCTGCTGCCACCATCGCCACCCCTGCTACCGCCATCACCACCCTACTGCCACCATCACCACCCCTACTGCCACCATCGCCACCCCTGCTATCGCCACCCTGCTGCCACCATCGCCACCCTGCTACCGCCATCACCACCTGCTGCACCATCACCACCCCTGCTACCACCATCACCACCCCACTACTGCCATCACCATCCCTGCTGCCACCATCACCACCCCCTGCCTACCACCATCACCACCCCTACTGCCACCATCACCACCCTGCCACCATCCGCCACCCCTACTGCCACCATCCCACCCCCTACTGCCACCATCACGCCACTCCTGCCGCCGTCACCACCCCTACTGCCATCGTCACCCATCTGCTGCATCGTCCTCGCCGCAATCGCCGCCCCTGCCATCACCGCCCACACCTTTCCTGCATCACCCGCACCCTCTGCTACCGTCACCACCCCTGCTGCCATCACCGCCCCTCTGCCATCACCACTCCTGCATACTTGCCCTACTACCATCCCCTGCCATCCTGCCCCTACTGTCACACCCTACCACCATCGCCACCCTACTGCCACCATCCCCTCACCCCTGCTTCTGCACCATCACCATCCTGCTGCCACCATCACCACCCCTACTTACCATCACCGCCTGCTGCCACCATCACCACCCCTGCTTTCCACCATCACCACCCCTCTTCACTGCGCCATCACCCCTGCTGCCACCATCCGCCGCCCCTTACTGCCATCGCCATCTCTGCTGCCATCACGCCCTGCTGCCATCGCCGCCCCCTCTTTCTGCCATCGCCACTACTGCCATCGCCGCCCCCTGCTGCCGCCATCGCCCCTACTGCCTGCATCCGCCACCCCTACTGCCGCCATCTGCCATCACCACCCTACTGCCCATCACCGCCCCTGCTGCCGCCTCGCCACCCTCTTCTGCCATCCGCCATCTTTTCTCGTCACCGCCCTGCTGCCGCCGTCGCCGCCTCTTTTAACTGCCAAATCGCCATCTGCTGCCAAATCACTTGCCCTCTTCCTAGCACATCATACTCCCCTCTTACTGCTTACTCGCCCTTCTATCTGAAATCGCCAAATCATAACTGCCGCCGTCTATAACCTTGTACGCCATCCTTCCCATCTTCTTAGCCTGCCATCCTCTTCCCTAATCATAGCTTCCCTACTGCCATAATCACACTCCTTTCGCACCTTACGCCGTACGCTCTAAATCGCCGCCCCCTATAGCCGCCGCTACATGCTACTGACGTCGCACGCATCTTGCCATCTGCACCCCACTGCTGTGCCGTCACAGCATATTCTCACTTAACGTCGCCGCCCTGCTGCCGCCGTCATGCGCTGCCGCCGTCTGCCGCCCTGCTGCCGCCGTCCTGCATCACCGCCGTCTTGCCCTCTGCTTACTAGTCCTCGCCTCTTTCGCCGCATCGCCTGCATCTCTTCCTCACATCGCCGCCCCTGCTGCCAAATCGCCCCCGCTGCCCCAAATCGCCGCCCCTCTGCTGCCACGCCGCCCCTGCTGCCGCCGTCGCCACCTGCTGCCGTCGCCATCATATTGCCATCGCCGCGTACTGCCGTCGCCGCCGCACTCTGCTGCATCTTGCGCCCCTGCCGTCGCCATTGTTGCTGCCGCGTCGCGCATCTGCTGCGTCGCGCGCTCTGCTGCATCCAGCACTCTGCTGCCGTCGCCGCCCATGCTGCCGTCGCTCAACGCTCTGCCACGCGCACCTGCCATCCGCCGCCCCCGCTGTCGAAACGCACCTCTGCCAATCACTCTGCCCCCTCACCATCGCCGCCATCTGCCACTATTACATCTGCTGCCATCACGCTTCGCCTCTGCTGCCGTCGCCGCCCTTGCTGCCGTCGCCGCCATTGCTGCCATCGCGCCGCCTCTGCTGCATCGCCTGCGCATCTGCTGCCATCGCCGCCCCCTGCTGCCGTCACCCGCCGCCCTGCCATCGCCGCCGCCCACTGCCATCGCCTTGCGCACTCTGCTGCCGTCCGCCGCCTCTGCTGCCATCACAGCCGCCCCTGCTGCCGTCACCACCATCTCTGCATCGCCACCGCATGCTGCCAATCGCCACCGCCTGCCATCGCCGCTACTCAACTGCTGCCATCCGCCGCCCGCCTGCCGTCGCCTTGCCTCTGCTGCCATCACCGCCACCCCTGCCGCCGTCTTACGCCCACTGCCATCACCACCCATGCTGCGTCGCCGCCCCATCAATCCGCCGTCTTGCTGCCCCTGCTGTCACCGCCCATGCCTGCATCACCACCCCTCTTGCCCATCGCCGCCATGCCCATCGCCGCCCATGCTGCGTCACTATGCCCTTTTCTGCGTCGCTGACGCTGCTACCGTCACTGCCGCCCCTGCTGCATCGCCGCCATACTGCCGTCACCACCGCCTGCCGTCGCCGCGCACTCTGCTGCCATCGCTGCCACCTCTGCTGCCGTCCGCTGCCCCCTGCGCCGTCACCGCGCCACTGCCGTACCGCACTCTGCGCCATCCGCACTTCGCCCCTGCTGCCATCTGCCCTTACTGCCATCACCGCCGCCCCGCCGCCGTCGCACCCACCTCTGCCATCCTTGCCACCCTCTGCTGCCATCGCGCCGCCCCTGCCAGCCGTCACCCACCCTTACTGCCATCCCCGCCGCCCCATCCCTGCCGTCACTACCGCACTCTGCTGCCATCACGCCGCCTCTTCTGCCGTCGCTTAGCCCCTGCCAGCATCACCGCCAGCCTGCCGTCATACCCTTACTACCGTCACTTATGCCTCATGCCGCCATCACCGCCTGCCATCGCCCTCTGCCGTCACTCTTGCCCCTGCCCACACCACCCTTACTGCCATCACCACCGCCGCCGCCATCCTTGCTCTTCTGCATCACTGCCACCCTGCTGCCACACCACCGCCTACCATCACCACCCTACTGCCATCACCACCCTTCTGCCATCCTGCCCTTACTGCCATCACTGCCCACCTCTGCATCACTGCCACCTCTCGTCACCTTACCCACTCTGCTCCATCGCTGCCACCCCTCTGCCATCGCCACCTCATGCTGCCGTCCACCGCTTACTGCTGATCACTGCCACCTCTGCCATCCTGCCGCCTCTACCCATCACTGCCACCCCTGCTGCCATCTGCCGCCCTTACCGCCATCCTGCCGCATCTCTTTCTGCCGTCACTGCCCCTCTGCTGCCATCACTTACCCTGCCATCCCGCCTTGCTGTCGCACCTTCGCACTCTGCTGCCGTCGCCGCCTCTGCTGCATCACTTACCTGCCCGTCCTGCCCTTACTGAATCGCCGCCCCTACTGCCATCGCTTAACGCATCTGCTGCAATCCTTGCCGCCCTCACCGTCGCCGCCATGCTGTACCGTCACCGCCCTATGGCCGTCCGCCGCCGCTGTAACCGTCGCCGCATGCTGCTCAAATCGCCGCCGTACTTCGCCGTCATGTGCCGTCACCGCCCCTGCCATCCGCGCACCCTGGCTGCTGCCATCGCTCGCCGCCCCTGCTGCCGTCGCCGCCTTGCTGCCATCACCGCCCATGCTGCCATCCGCAGCACGCTCTGCTGCCGTCGCTTATGCCCCCTGCTGCCCGTCGCCACCGCTGCTTCTGCCATCCGCCGCCCTGCCATCGCTTATGCGCCTGCTGCCGTCGCCACCGCCCTGCCATCCGCCGCCATGCTGCCGTCGCTTGCGCATCTTCTGCCGTCACCGCCCATGCTGCCGTCGCTTACCGCACTCTGCTGCCATCGCTGCCGCACTCTCACTGCCGTCGCCGCCGTGCTGCCGTCCGCCGCCATCTGCTGCGTCAACACTTTATGCTGCCAATCGCGCTGCGCTGCCGCTGCTGCTGCATCGCGCCGCATCTGCTGCCGTCGCCTTGCGCCCCTGCTGCCGTCGCCGCCTGCTGCCGTCGCCGCCACTCTGCTGCCGTCACCACCTGCTGCCGTCACCGCCCATGCCGCCGTCGCATCGCACTCTGCTGCCATCGCCTTGCGCCCCTGCTGCCATCGCCTGCCGCCCCACTGCTGCGTCGCGCCGCATCTGCTGCCGTCGCGCCCACTGCCGTCGCCGCCGCATCTGCTGCCATCGCGCGCATCTGCTTTCACCGTCGCCGCCCGCACTCTGCCGTCGCCGCACTGCTGCCGTCGCCGCGCACTCTGCTGCCATCGCCTTATCTCTGCCGTCCGCCACCCCTGCTGCCGTCACCGCATCTGCTGCCATCGCCGCCGCACTGCTGCCGTCACCGCCCCTGCTGCCGTCGCCAGCCATCTGCTGCCATCGCATACATCTGCTTTCTTAAATCGCCGCCCGCTTGCTGCCGTCATGCGCCCTGCTGACGTCGCCGCGCATCTTGCCGTCGCTGGCCTGCTGCGCCGTCTTCGCGCCCTGCGCAATCGCCGCCTCTGCTGCCGTCGCCGCATCTGCTGCTGCTGCTGCCGCATCTGCTGCCGTCGCCGCCCTCTGCCGTCGCGCATCTGCTGCCGTCGCAGCGCATCTCTGCTGCCGTCGCCGCCCTGCTGCCGTCGCTTGCGCATCTGCTGCCGTCGCGCGCGCCATACCGCCGTCGCCGCATCTGCTGCCGTCGCCGCCATTGCTGCCGTCGCGCGCATCTGCTGCATCGCGCATCTGCTGCCGTCGCCGCCGCTGCTGCCGTCGCGCCTGCTGCCGTCGCCGCCGCTTGCTGCCGTCGCCCAGCACTCTGTCAGTCGCGCAACGCATCTGCTGCCGTCGCCGCCCCCTGCTGCCGTCGCTTAACGCGCTCTGCTGCCGTCCGCGCGACCCTCTGCCGTCCGCCGCCCTGCTGCCGTCGCCGCCACATCTGCTGCCGTCGCCGCCCCTACTGCCGTCGCCTTGCGCCTCTGCCATCGCCGCCGCCCCGCTGCCGTCACTGCCGCCTCTCTTTACCCGTCGCACCTTGCCTCTGCTGCCATCACCACCCATACTGCCATCACTCGCCGCCTCTGCTACCATCACCACCATACTGCCATCGCCGCCTCTACTGCCATCGCCGCCCTGCTACCCATCACCTCCTACCATCTGCTGCCCACCTCTCTACCATCGCCACCCGCCCACTACCATCACTTAGCCACCCCTACTTGCATCACCGCCGCGCCTGCCATCCTGCCGCCTCTTACTGCCATCGCACCCCCCCATCCCCCACTACCTCACCGCGCCCACTGCCATCCTTCACCTCTGCTCACCATCACCACCCTTACTGCCATCGCCCCTGCACCAGCACCCCTACTGCCATCGCTGCCCGCACTCTACCATCCACCCCCTACTACCATCCTGCCCACCTCTACCACCATCACCACCCTACTGCCATCACTTAGCACCTCTACCCATCACCACCTCTACTACCATCACTTACGCCCACTGCCATCGCCACCGCCTCCTACCCCATCCTGCACTCTTTCCGTCGCCGCCGCCCTGCTACCCGTCGCATCTCTGCCATCCTTGCCCACTCTGCCATCACCGCATACTGCCATCGCCACCGCACTCTGCCACCGTCACCACCCTTGCTGCCGTCACCATGCACCCTCCTGCCGTCACCCGCCCCACCGCTGCCATCGCCTGCGCATCTGCCATCATAACCTTGCCATCCTGCCGTCACTTGCACTCTGCCATCACCCGCCCCTTGCACCATCACCTGCCCTTCTACGCCATCGCCCCCGCACCTCCCCATCTCTGCAATGCCACTCTGCCGTCACTGCTTACCTCTGCCATCACCACCCTGCACCATCACTGCCACCTCTACTGCCATCACCGCCCACTACCATCACGCCGCCGCCTCTGCTACCATCACCACCCGCCTACTGCCATCCTGCCACTCTGCGTCGCCACCTCTGCCATCACCACCCTTACTGCCATCGCTGCCATACTGCCATCACCACCCTACTGCCATCACTACCTCTGCCCATCACCCGCCCACTACCATCGCCGCATCTCCTGCCATCACCACCCCTACCATCACTCCACCCTGCTACCATCCTGCGCACTCCCTGCCATCACCTCTGCCATCACCTCTGCTGCATCGCACCGCCCTCCATCGCCGCCATCCTGCACTCTACTGACCATCACCACCACTACCATCACCTGCCTCTACTGCATCACCAGCCCCAACTGCCATCGCCGCCACCTCTCTGTCGCCGCCTCTACCACCTCTACTGCCATCACCCGCCCCTACTACCCATCCGCCACCCTACTGCCATCACTACCTCTACTGCCATCACCACCCCGCCTGCATCGCACGCCTCTACCATCGCACTTACCTCTACTG